CATCATGAGAAACGCTGGGCTGGATGAAGCACAAGCTGGAATCAAGATTGTTGGGAGAACTATCAATAACCTCAGATATGCAGATGACACCACCCTTATGGCAGGAAGTGAAGAGGAACTAAAGAGCCTCTTGATGAAAGTGAAAGAAGAGAGTGAAAAAGTTGGCTTAAAGCTCAACATTCAGAAAACAAACATCATGGCATCATGATGCCATGGAAACAGTTGCTGACTTTATTTTTCTGGGCTCCAAAATCACAGCAGATGGTGACTGCAGCCATGAAATTAAGAGACGCTTACTCCTTGGAAGAAAAGTTATGACCAACCTAGACAGCATATTAAATAGCAGAGACATTACTTTGCCAACAAGGGTCCATCTAGTCAAGGCTATGGTTTTTCCAGTGGTCATGTATGGATGTGAGAGTTGGACTGTGAAGAAAGCTGAGCGCTGAAGAATTGATGCTTTTGAACTGTCATGTTGGAAAGGACTCTTGAGAGTCCCTTGGACTGCAAGAAGATCCAACAAGTACATCCTAAAGGAGATCAGTCCTGGGTGTTTGTTGGAAGGACTGATGCTGAAGCTGAAACTCCAATACTTTGTCCACCTGATGTGAAGAGCTGACTCATTTGAAAAGACCCTGATGCTGCGAAAGATTGAGGGCAGGAGGAGAAGGAGATGACAGTGGATGAGATGGTTGGATGGCATTGCCAAATTGAAGGACATGGGTTTTGGTGGATTCTGGGAGTTGGTGATGGACAGGGAGGCCTGGCGTGCCGAGATTCATGGGGTTGCAAAAGAGTCAGACATGACTGAGCGACTGAACTGAACTGAAAATGTGGCTAAATTAAAACTGAGAAGAGCCAGCAGCCAAAATCAAGCAATTTGAAACATAAATCTCCCTTAGAAAGAGCCTGTATGTGTTGTATGTTCATTTGCTTCAGTTGTGTCTGACTCTTTGAGACCCTATAGAATGTAGCCCTCCAGGCTCCTCTGTCCCTGGGATTCTCCAGGCAAGAATACTGGAGTGGGTTGCAATGCCTTTCTCCAGGAGATCTTCCCAACCCAGGGATCGAACTGGTGTCTTTTGAGTCTCCTGCATTGCAGGTGGATTCTTTACCCCTGAGCCACCGGAGAAGCCCCTATAAAGAGCCTAATCTTATATTTTTCCATGAAGATCCACCATTACCCCATTTGGCCCACAGCAGACACTAAAAGTGGCAGCCCTTTCTTTGGTTCTTCACATGATGCCTTACACTGTGTATGCATGTACAAATTTCTCTCCCTCCATATTTCAGTTATCTTAATTTCTCACTGTGCATAATGAAAACTACACACATATTGCTATTTATCTAAACATTTAAAATGATGGATTTGAAAAAGATCTCTTACCTGAAGTGTGATCAAGGGATACTGAAAGAAGAAAGAAAAATGCAAGTTAATATTAAAATAGTTCATTTTGGGGCCAGATATTGCATTATAAGGATTATCTGACTTAAATGTTGACTTAGTTCCCCCTGTTCCAGATGGCAAAGTTTCTAAGAGCCAAAGATGCCAGGAAAACTCTGAATTTGAAACAGACTCAAACTTTCCTCTGGGAAGTGAAAAGCAAGTTCTATGTAAGTCACTTTTTCTAATAGGATGAAAAGACCTAGAGAAGTAAAAATCAATTCACTATATTGGAAAGTTTTTTTGTTTAATATTGAGGTTTATCTTTGAAACTATACCTATATGTATCTCCATAGTTATGGAAAATTTCCCAATGATATCTTATAGAGCAATGGAGTAATTTGTTTAGTTTTCATTGTGTGTTTGAAATGACTGGACTCACCACTTCGTTGATAGGAAGGAACTTAGTATCCAGTGTCACGATGCGAAGTTTAACTAAAAGAGGAAGAGAGGACAATAATATTTTCTTATTATTAATCATTAATTTTCTCATAGCTATTGATAAGAATTATTAGTCTTATTTTCTCTCCCAGATATGATTGCTTATAAATAGACAGTGAAATTAATTGCCTTGCTTTCATAGAACACTGCACTTCCTTCTCCTCTAGCTTTGATTTAACCCTTTGAGATTTGGGTTCCTTTTGGAAAGATTTTTTATTGCACATTTATAATTCCTCTGTTGATCATGACCTGTGTTAATGAAGCTGACACAGCTGCTGCCACCACTAGAAACTTTTTACCATAACAGCCCATAGGGAAGTCTCAGAACTTGGTGGCAGAATTAATCATAGAAGAACAAATGTGAAATATGTATGGTAAGAGTTATACATGGACTTCCTATGTGGTGCTAGTGGTCAAAAAGCTGCCTGCCAATGCAGGAGACACTAGAGACTCGGGTTTGATCCCTGGATCAGGAAGAGCCCCGGAGGAGAAATGGCAACCCACTGCAGTATTCTTGCCTGGGAAACCCCATGGACAGAGCAGCCTGGTGGGCTACAGTCCATGGGGTTGCAAAGTGTCAGACACAACTGCCCACATGCACACACATACAGATACATGCACATGAGTTATATGTAATTTTTATGGAAAAATATATTAATGTTGGCAAATATTGATTTTAGCAGAATTCCAGAAAAGCCATGTTAGCTATTTTTGCACCTATAACTGTCATCATAGTATTTTAATACATCCAGAAGAGAAAACATAATGTAGCAAAACAGAAAAACTCACTATAAGATAAATTCTGTTTTAGTTCTTTTACTTTTTTTTTAGTAAGTCATCTTTGTGCTCAGATGTTCAGTCATATCCAACTCTTTGCAACCCCATGGACTGTAGCCTGCTAGGCTCATAGAACAAAGTGTGTAGATGTTCTTACCAGCTTCTAATTTTATAAATGAGAAAACTAAAGCTCCCAAAGACCAGAACTGACTTGGCAGAAGTTGATAATTTATTCTCAGAGCCAAGACAAAAATCATATCCTTCTGAATCTTAGTTTGGTGTTCTTTCTGCTTTCTTCTACTTAAAACAATAATGAAGAGGGGCTCTGCTTAAGTTATCAGATTTATGATTCCTTTTTCTGGTATGAATAATAATGATGATGATAATAAATGCCATTTAAAAATTACTTACTGTGTGCCAGGGACTATTTTGGGCTTCCCAGGTGGCACTAGTGGTAAAGAATCCACCTGCCAGTGCAGGAGGCATAAGAGATGGAAGTTTGATCTCTGGGTCTGGAAGATTCTCCAGAGGAGGGCATGGAACCCACTCCAGTATTCTTGCCTGGAGAATCCCATGGACAGAGGAGCCTGGTGGGCTACAGTCCAGAGCATCACACAAAGTGGGACATGACTGAAGCAACTTAGCACGCACGCACACAGAGAGACTATTTTACATTGGCTATCTTATTCTCGCAGTAAAAATGAGATACTTTTACTATTTCCTTTCTATGGATGAAAAGAATTGAGTCAAAATAGAGATTTAATTAGTTTTTCCAGCTGGTAAATTATGAAGTAACACAACCCTAGCTTGCAGCCATTGTATTATGCAAGCCTGTCATGAGAATTTGTAAACAGTGAGATAGACACAAAACTGTAAGAAACAAAACACTCAATAGTTGAAACTGAAGTGTACTGTTTCATAACTGACCTAGACAAGTGGTCAAAATTCTAGAAATTCTTGATCTGAAGAGTTAAGACCAAATTAGAACTTGGATTTAAATTTAATAATGTGTTTGGATTGCTTAATATTAGAAGAAAGAGTTTCTGAAATCAATAATAAGAAGGAAACATAAATATTGACTTACCATTCTCTCCAGATTTATAGATGGGTTTATCTGTCTGCACAAAGGTCACTGTCTCTTCTGAAGAGAGTGCTACAGATCTCCTCTCAAAGATTTTAAGAGTATCTCCCTTAACCAACAGAGTCACAAAAGCCATCTGGTCAGAAGACTTGTGGGAAACCTATTTAACATAAAGAGCAGAAAATGGGAAAATCATTCTTAGACATTTAGATGGTAAAGAATGCCTTAGTTTGCTTCTGAGGCTGAGAGAGCCTTGTGAATCCATTATGTCTTAATGGGAGATTTATTGATCACTTGTTCCAATTTCTTTATTTAGCCTGAGGACAGTTCCCAGTAAAGTCATTCCTATGTTTTCTTATCTATTGTTTTCTATGTTCCCGAGTTCCAATCTCTCATTCCTTTACCTAATTCTCTATCCTCATTTTTAAACAGTTCTCTATCTAAAAGCAGTTGTTTAGTCACTAAGTTGTGTCTGACTCTTTTGCAACCCTATGGACTGTAGCCCACCAGACTCCTTTGTCTGTGGGATTTTCCAGACAAAAATATTGGAGTGGGTTGCCATTTCCTTCTCCGGGGGATCTTCCTGACCCAGGGATCGAGTCCATGTCTCCTATATTGGCAGGCAGATTCTTTACTGCTGAACCACCAGGGAAACCCATCAGAAAACAGTTATATTGTCTTATTACCATTCCCTGCAAGAGAAAAGCTCAGTACTTCACAAGTTTTATTGTATATATAACTTGTCTTTTTATTTGCCTTTCAAAAATTCTCCAATTTTCCTTCTCAGATTCCACAACTTATCCAATCAAGTTTTGTTATTTCTCTAAAACTAATTTTTTAAAGATTTATTTATTTTTTATTGAAGGATAATTGCTTTACAGAATTTTGCTGTTTTCTGTCAAACCTCAACATATATCAGCCATAGGTATACATGTATCTCCCTCTCATCTCCCTCTCCATCCCACCCCTCTAGGTTGATACAGACCCCTGTTTGAGTTTCCTAAGCCATACAGCAAATTTCTGTTTGCTATCTATTTTACATATGGTAATGTAAGTTTCCATGTTACTCTTTCCATACATCTCCTCCTCTCCCCCCATCCCCATGTCCTTTCTAACACATATATATGGAATCTAGAAAAATGGTACTGAAGAATTTATTTACAGGGCAGCAATGGAGAAACAGACATAAAACTCATTTTTTAGTAGTAATTCCATCTTCCCATCTGAAGTTCTGAAAAGTCAAATTTTGCACCTCACCTCAAAATTTGCACAAGAATAGAAGTTATCCTCTTCCACAGTCTGGTCAAAAATAGTGCTATTGGATCCATCATATTCTAAGACAACACTCAAGGACACAGATTCATTCAGGTTTAAAAGGTGGAGACAAGCTTGTTCTGTAGAATGACTTTGCATCACAGAGGGGACCCATAGGATATATTGCCTATATGCAAACAAAGTAATCAGCACTCTAAACAAGGGTAAGAGAAATGCAGAACATGCATAAAGCAATTTTAGCTTATTGACATATTTCTGAAACACACACACTTGTCATGATATTACAATAAACTTGAGTATGCAGAAAGCTATCAAGAAAAAAAATTAAGTCATTTCCCTTCATACTCCTGTTTAAGATTTACAGGGTAAATCAGCACTCTGTCTCAGAAACTGAAATGGTAAAATACAATTGAATTTTAACACAGCACATTTCATAAGATCACTTTTCCAGTACTTTCATAAGAACAGCAATATAATATTCCTTACGGGTTCAAAGCCTCAGAAACAGTAAATTGAAGCAAAAAGGTACTCATAAAAATGATGGGCACCATTTTACCCCAGTGCCTGAACAATTAAGACTTCAAGATAGTCTCCTCTTTCTCTCTGTCTTTATTAGAAGTCAGCTGTCTCAACTCTTTCCTTTCTTTTCTTCCTTCTACTCTGCATCTCTCTGTATACTGTTGCTTTTATATAGTCACACATGAAGGATCAATTGCTTTTTGGAGCAAATATAATGGGACTCTCCAATCACATTTAGATCTCCTCTCCCATTACTTTTCCGGGGAGTGGGGGTGTCAATTTACCTACAACTTCCTTCTTAAATTCACCAGATGCTGATCTGTTTTTGCAATCAGCAGTATGAGTTGGACAGGAAGAAAGAGGAAAACAAAGAAAGCACTTGTGCGACACTTAGGATTCTATTAATTTAGTTCCTCACTCCCAGGGCTCACCGCAGTATCAAAAGCATTAACCCACAGGAATCAGCACTTGGAAGAAAATACCTGTCCAAACAGCTATTAATCATTTCAAATCCCCAAAGGTAAATATTCCAGGCTTCTGAGAGAAGAAACATTATCTGATATTGCCAAAATCCAGATGCAAATAAATATCTCAACATAGGCTCATTTTACAGATAATTGAAACTCATTTTTCTATAATTTCATGATACAAAACACAACATTTAAAATGTTGATATGTGTGCAACATTTACTATAATTTTCTGTTGGTGCTGACTTTTATTTATTTATTTTTTTGCCACATCGTGGCATGAGGGAACTTAGCACTCCCACCAGAGATGGAACCCACCCCACTTGCATTGGAAGCATGGAGTCTTAGCCACTGGACCATCAAAGGAGTTCCTACTATAATTTGCTTAGGTTTTTATAATGGTCAATATCCTTTCCTACCCTAAATAGGAAAACAATGCAAGAAAATGTGATAAATATGTGTGAGTGTATACACACATACCGGGCTTCCCAGGTGATGCTAGTGGTAAAGAGCCTGCTTGTCAATGTAGGAGATATAAGAGAGGTATGTTTGATACATGGGTGGTGAAGATCTCCTGGAGGAGGGCAAGACAACCCACTCTAGTATTCTAGCCTGGAGAATCCCATGGATAGAGGAATCTGGTGGGTTACAGTCCATAGAGTTTCAAAGAGTTAGACATGCATGACTGAAGTGACTTGGCATGCATGCACAGGCGTACACACATACTAGTAACTTCTTGACTGAAAAAAAAAAAGCTTTACCATCATTATTGCAAAATATTTCTACAAGGAACATGAGTCATACCAGAGAAACTGGTGACCTCTTACCCTCAGTGTGTTAATTCTCCTATTTATCTTCTTTTTTTGGTTGTTGTTGTTAACATCCTTTCCATGTCAAGTGCTGATGTAGTTAATGCATCTGGCTTGAAGAATGATACGTTGGGTAATGAAAGATTGAAATTGATTTCAGTCTTTTAGAAATAGATCTACAATACTGCAAGAGCAAACACAAAGGCAAGAGCAACAAAACCAACTATAATCCATGAGTAGGTGGAGTGGGGCTCTGAGGCCAGGGAAGGTCATAACAGGGTCCTCAGCTGACCACATTTCCAATTTCAGCACAGCACCGTGTGCTTGAAAACTCAGATCATGTTCTCTCAGTAGAATTGCAGCATTTCTCAACTCCCCATTTCAATTTAAGACTTTTCTTTTCAGTCTGCCTTTTCTCTAACCCTGCTTAAGACACCAACTCTTTTAAAATCTCTGCTACAGGGCTAATCTTCAACTTTTATTCGGTCCTGCCAGTTTTAATATTTAATTTCTTTCCACTGGACTCTCAAACTGTTAGTCTCTGTGTTTGACCAATACCCTTTCCTTTGATAGCCCCTTGGGCTTATTATTAGAACCACTCTCTGCACTCTGTTTCTCCTACTCACAAATCACTAGTTTCCAAAACAAGTGAAGCTCAACTCATCAGTGTTCAAGTTAAACAGAACCACAAGGCAGACTGTTTATAAGTCAAAGCAACAAATTCTTTATTCTCAAGGCTGGTGAATCTAAAATCATGAAACTTCTCTAAAATATTTGTGTTTTTCCAAATGTGAAAATTTTATGCCGAGTAAATGACTCTATTCATTTTAACTTTAATCAAGGCTAGTTATTGATAACAAACATATGTTTTGCACAGTTCTTTTAAATCACCTTGGAAACTAGACTTTTTAAAAATAATATCTCTTTCCCCAAACATGACTTTATGTGATTAACATATCCCCAAATAAATTTATCTGATTTACATGGTTAATGGGCCCTTATCCCAGAAAAGTTAGATATGAATCCAACATCTATTGCATACTTGCTATGTATCAGCAAGGTAATAGTGAGGTTCTAGAGATAACAGGATGAGTAAGACACAGCTCTTTAAAGGAGTTTACTTCTAGTAGAGAAGGGAAGAAAGGAAAAGAGAAAAGAAGAAGGGAGGATGGGAGAGGGAAGGGAAAAAGGAAGTGAGAATGAAGGAAGTGAGGATCTGTTGAAGAGGGGGGATATTATAATTTCTTAATAATTAACAGAGTGCTAGGCACTGATATTGATAGTATCTCATTTAATTCTCAAAAATACAATTTCAGGTTCATTATTTATTCTTATTTTACAGATAAGAAAAATACAGTATCAGAAAAAAACACATATTTTCATAGGGTCACCCAGAGAGTAAGTGATTGGGAAGAATTTCTTTTAATAATCAAATTAAGTGAGATCAAGCAATGTTTATATATAAAAATATGAAAGGACATGGATTAATGTACTATGCTCTAAATTCTCTTTATGTTTCTGCTGAATAAAGGGATATATGATGGATATTATATCATCATCATGTGACAGACTCAGTGTTATTTAGGTCATTGTTGTTCACTGCTATGGAATTATCTCCAGGCTCTTGTTTATTCTGTATGTGCTTACTGAGTATCTACTATTTGCTAGAAATATGGTAGATGGTGGGAATTATGAGGTGAATGCAAATTTTTGTAGTTATTCTATTAGGAAAGGTGGAGGTTAAAGAACTAACTGTACAATTAATTATTTCATTACAACCTTGGTAAATGTTACAGAAGAGAAGGAACTATAGGGTGCCAAGGAAATGTATGCTGGTTGGTTACAGGTGAGGTGAGACTTAGTATTGAACCTGGCCTTGATGATAAACAGATGAATAAGACTATTTCTTTTCCTAGAATAGATCACTGTCCACTCAGTACAATATTTAAACATAAATTGCAATGCATGTGATACAAAGACTATCCTATATTGAAACTATGAGCAATGCTCAGTGGAATCACATTAAAATGACAAATAGGAAGTTGCAAAGAATTTGATTAGGAAGTTTTGAATTGGGACTATTAACATGATTATGAATTTTCTAGGTAGCATAGAAACTGAAGTAATAGCTCAGGAAAAAAACTATGAAATTATAATCAAACATTGTGTGTGTTTTAAAAATAATAGTAAGTTCTGTTTTGTTGAAGAAAAGATAGTGTATGAAATGACATTCAACAAGCCTATTGAAAACATTGTGATTGACTTGTGAAAAGTTGTTTTCTTGCGCTAAGGAGTCTGAATGTTAGTTTGAAGAGTGGTGGACATAACGACTCTGTACTCCATGAAAAACATACAGGAATGAGAGTAAAATAGTGGAAAGAGAATCATATATGTTTTCAATACTATGCTTGATATTTACTGTCAAAGGCAGAAAGAAAGAGCTACAAAGAAATTTAGACTGGCCTCTAGCAAAATAGACTGGGAGAAAGTCTGTTTGAAAATATAACTCAGGCCATAACAAAACAACATATTTCTTTTAAACATCTCATCACTTTATTGCTGTGATATTAGAAAGTGGCAGGAAGTCTGATGTAAAATTATATGAAATAATGTGGCTAACGTCACATATAAATATATCCTCTTAAATATCTTAATAATTACCACAGTGAGTCTGCTCACAGATTACCCTAGGTTAAAGAAGTAATACCCTGAACAACGGCAATATGTCTCAAGATACATGTTTCTTTACTCTTGTTGTTAGAATTTGAGGCAATTTTGATTTGGGGATAAAGAAGAGGGAGAGGGTGAGATGGACACTAGGAGTAAATACTATTGCAATTCCCTGCAAGACAGGGAAAACAAAATAAATATACAGATGAAGTGATAATTTAAGTTTGATATATATTAATTAAGAGGTGACTTTAGTACTCCAGAGAGGTGATACACAGTAGAGGGCTGAAATAATAAATCTGGTACTCTGAAAAATGCTGGGATGTGGATATCAATTTGGGAATCAACATCATACAAATGATACTGAATATTCTGGATGTTGTTTAGTTGCTAAGGAGTGTCCAACTCTTTGTGACCCCATGGGCTGTAGCACGCCAGCTCCCCTGTCCATGGGATTTTCCAGACAAGAATAAAGAATACTGGAATGGATTGCCATTTCCTTCTCCAGGTGAACCTTCCTGACCCAGGGATTGAATCTGTATCTCCTGCATTAGCAGGTGGATTCTTTACCATTGAGCCACCAGGGAAGTCCATAATATCCTGGATATTGCTAAAAGTATACAGGAAAGTAGTTTTGGGTTGGCCAAAATGTTTGTTTGGGTTTTTCCATAGCATTTTTCAGAACAAACAAACTTGGGCCAACCCCATAAAAAGGTAAAGAAGATAGCCAATAGCAAGAGAAAGACAGGTGAAGATTTGGCTACTCTGCTTTTCCAGCTGGGTGAATTTGATCAGACAAGGGGCAATATTGGTTTTGTTTCCTAGAACCATTGGCTTGAATCTGATGCCATGCCTTGAAAGGCTGTTTTGGCTTTATATGATTTTTATATTACAAGTTCTCTCTAAACAACAAGAAAACATTGTCTTGATTTTCCCAGCTGCATAATTAATGATAGTCCATTTAAAGGGACAAAAGTTTAAAATGTATGTCAGAGTTCCTGAGACTATCTTGAACTTCTAGTCCTCTCTGAAATGTTTAAGCCAACACTACAAATCAGAGGATTGCCCAAGACTAGCAATGTATA